GAAAACGAAAGCGATGCTCGTACACAATGTAGTTTCTCCCTTATACCCAAAAGTCGTATATAAAAATAAACTAATTGAATATGTTATAAAGTTTAAATATTTAGGGGTACATATAACAGTAAAATTGGGATGGGAGAAATATATAAACGAAAGAATCAAATCAATAAGTAAAATAAATAATGCTATGAAAATAGTCTGTAAAACAATTAAGAAAAAGGATATAAAGACTCGTAGAAGAATATATTTAGCATATGCCCTTCCGCATTTTATATGGTTATTTAGTACCTGGTTTTTCTTTACGGAAAGACAGAAAGAGAAAATAGCTCATGTTTATTGCACCGGTTTAAGAATTATATACGACCTACGGGGTTGGGATGATATAACAACACTTGTGCTTACAAGAGAAAAATCGTTATATGACTATATATACGGATATTGGCGCCGACTGATACTTCACCTACTGACTGTTGATGAAGCCTTAGCATACCAAATGAATTGGAATACATATTTAAATATAACTAACCCCGATAAAAACCGGTTTAAAATACTAGGTGTAAGGAAAAATAGTTTTTTTTTTAATCGTTTACGTCTACAAATTAAACATACCTTGATAGATTGGCTAGAGTTTGAAAATGTCCATGTCAAGCAGCATGAATATTACAAAAAAGCAAATAAAGAAATTTACATATTCATATACAAATACTTTATCGAGAATCCAATATATTATTATTAACAAGTCTATTTTTCTTCCACTGTATACCATTTTTTTTTTCCCCTCTCTTATGTTTTCTATCCGTTCTCTTATAAGCTATATACCAGCATGTACACTCTGTCATCTCATTTTTTTTTTTTTTCTCCTTCCATTAAATATTGTTACATTCTCATTTTTTTCTCTCTACTCAGATAAGATGTAAAGTACAGTCTGTACTACTCCATTTCTTACCATTATCATAGGATATTGGCTCAGGTGAACATTATAAAATGTAGTACTAAAATACTGATATTGTATCAAATACTTCCTCTAGTCCTTTATTCTTTGTCGTGCTCTCTTTTGTTCTTATTTTTTTCTTTTTTCTTTTTTTATAACCTGTGAACCAAGATAAAAGGCACAATAAAAATATATGTAAAAAAAAAAAAAAAAAAAATAAAATGAAATTCGATACACTTTTTTCTTGTTTTCTTTTTTATATGCTTCATGTAACTCGTTTTCAATCTTCGTCTATGATAATTATCATTTTATTTTATTTTTTTCATTTGTCTGACTTTTTTATTTAATTTATTTTATTCACAATCCATCTACGTTGGACTGAAGTGTCTATATTTTGGGACAGGAATATGTGTACGCTTGTGCGGATTAAGGGAAAATCCACATCCACATTCCACTAGTATGAGACATGGCCATTTTCGCTCCACATGTTTTCAAATGGTAATCGGAAGCTGTAATAAGCATAAGAAAATGCTTGAAATATATCTAGTGTTTTCAAGCGTTTTTTCTTTTAATTTACCGTCTACTTAAGAAATGAAAGAATAATATAGTATGAATATTGTATGCATAAAAGAACATGAGTCCGGTTTATTGCACAACATTTAACATGAAATGAATGACAATAATACAACTATATATGTCAAAAGAACATAGAAGTGTGGCGGTAGTGACAGTAACACTTATCTTCACTCACACTCGCACCCACCCACATCAGACTCATACTGTTCTATTATAGCTTTTTTAGAATTGTTACTAATATTTTGCTTATAGATAATGAACGCTTTTGTTGCACTTCTTCACCATCATATTGTCAGTCTATCACAAATCAAATAAAGTACAAAGAAATTAAATGAAAAATTTACAGCATAAATATCATCAACAAATTCTAGTGATGTTGCTGATATATGTTATCATAAGACGCAGTCATAGATTTCTATTGAAACGATATTCACACGTTCAATTCAACTCCTCAAACTTTAAGAAAATATTGATCAAAATAAAATATCATAGTCTTATACAATATATTTTTTAAAACAAATTTTTCTCGAAAAAGATCATTCATATTCTTGTATTTCAATCACTTCAGATTTTAAAATATTCGCTTTGGGACAATGTTTGGGATATTAAAAACTCTGGCAGATGAAGAGATTTTTTTAGACATTTCACATAATCTCAATGATAGTTCACCATATTAACATGAGTCATCTATTTGGAAGAATAAGAAAAGTAATTTCATCTATATATAAGATGATGTGACAAACGCAATAAAACTTAATGAGTTTTATATGACTGTGGGACATTTTCTAACCAATAGAAAAGAAAACATATTGTTTCAAAATAAAAACGTTCAACTGTCCTATTTGATGAAAACCATTTGTTCTACATAAATATAGTGCATTAATTATTCCTTCTAGACATAAAGCATAATATTACTCTATTTATCACGTTATAAGAAAATATAGAATAGTTTTATTTCTCTCTTATTTATAAAGGCTAATCTATGGTTGTATATAGTTTTTATTCATTTAGTTCTATTTGTTATTTTTGTCTTGATAATCTTTTCCGAGATATTTTATATTATAATATAGAAAGTAAATGACGTTGACAAGTGTATATTCTCTTCCTTCTAAGTTTACAAAAAAAATTCATTTTCTTCCATCTTATTAGAAAAGTCTTAGCGAGAACAATTTCTTAAATAAGAAAACACGTATCAACCTGATCATTAATTGCATTTGCTTATCTGTTGAAAGTAGGGTAAGAACTATAGAATGTTTACATTTGTCTAAGCAAATATTCTTTTATCAATGTTTGATCGTTTAATAGAAATTATTATAATCAACCTTTGTTTGAAGTCTATCAAAGTAAATCACAGAATGAATAATAATTATTATTGATCTGTCATAAATACATTTAAGCGTTAGAAGATTCCATTAGATTAATTACGTACACATTGATTTCTCATAATAATACAAAGAATTAGTGCAAAGTTGAAGAAAACATTCGAGTCTTATAAATGAGATCGAAAGATAAATAATAGTATTTCCTACTAATGAGATATAAACAAGATTTTCATAGTACATTAATTCATATGTATGAGTTTATGTGAATGAGATATCGATAATAGATTATTCTAAAAAATTCTATTTTTTTTACGTCTATGGAACATCTATGTTGCTTCAATGAATATCTCTATAGGCGATACAATATTAATTAAAAGTAATATTTATAGAATAAAGAAGATAATCGTTTTATAAGTTTTATTCTTAGACATGCGAGCAAAGCATTCTATAATAAAATAATCCAGACTTGAGAAACTAGCGTATCTCAATTGTTCATATTAATAATATGTTTTAAAAATCTTTACAATGCCGAACACTATTGTAAAAAATGTTTTGCTGATAGTAATTTTACATAAGTAATACAATTTATTAATGATTAGTCATGATGAAATGCTCGAAGATACTCTATTTAGAAAAGATTGTCAACTGTAGGAATGACTCAATGAATAGTATAGTTGAAAAATGAAAGTATACAAGAAGAATAAATTTTCGAGAGAAAAATTCCAAATTTATTTTCTTTATTATTTTTGTCATAGTGTTCCTATTAATAACGAAGAATGTAGATAAGATGAAAAGTATAGTAGAGATATTTGGCATTAATATATATCGATCTGCTCGAGCGTAATATGATGAAGTTTTGTCCACACTAGTATTAATCTTTCTCAGCAACTTGAAGAGCACTTTAAAAAATTTAATTGTTTCATCAAAAGATAAGTCTTTGTAGACTCCTCCTCAATTCTTGAAAATCTAAGTTCATTTGGCTCACTTGTTTGAAAATGATAGCAAAAATACATAGATCTTTTTAATAATTAGTAAATTTTAATAAAATTACTTATTATCAGAAGACAAAGATATTTTTATTCGCCTTATACTAGAATCTATCAGGTGATAATAGTGATTTTTGTTTCTCGTTGAAACAACTAAGACAATAAAACTTGTCACAATCAGAACAGATGGTTTGTATTTTCTTTGCTATCACATGACTTGCTTTTCTTAATTATTGTTGTCCGATTTCCTTGTAGCAGTCAGCACAGCGACTTTGAACATTGTGGTCCGACCCTTCCTTTTCTTCGAACTTGTGATCAGCAAGTTTGCGCTTCATTTGGTTTGTTGATTGTTGCTTCGAACCAGGTTTCAGCTTCTCAAATGGCGTACCAAGCAGTAAAGATCGAAAAAGACTTCCATGAAACTGTAGCATGATCATATGGTTTCTGTCATAATTTTCCTTGTAAATCAAATAGGCATTAACGCTGTGCTGACTGCTACGAGAAAATCAGACAACAACAATGAAGAGAAGCAAGTAATGCGGCAGCAAAGAAAATAAAAATCTTCTGTTCTAATTGTGACAAATTTTATTGTCTTAGTTGTTTCAACAAGAACCATCATGCTATGCAATAAATAATTCAAACAATGGCAGAGAGAGCAGATGATACATTGTACATAATCTTCCGCCTAAGGAAAAAGGAAAAGAAAATGTTTTTCTAGTCATTTTCATGTTAAAATATAGTGGGTCTCACCAGTGGGATCCATCGACTCGAAAGGGTTAAACTTATCCATTAAGGTTGATGTGTTTAAGTGGATATATATGTAATGAAAGAATGAGCAAGAAAATTTTAGTAAATTTTTTCTAATAAATATTCTTAATTCAATAAATAAGATTATATGAGACTAGAGAAGACTTCGCGATTAATACTTTACTTGGTATTCATTGTTAATTCATCATAACTCATGCAAGTAAATTTCATCACTGAGTTTTTTGTAAAATAATTGACTAGTAAGATTATTATAATGTCATATTAAATAGTTTATTGGAATAATCAATATCTAATAGCAAATCCGTCTTAAATATTTATTTTTATATCTTTCTAATCATCAATATAAAAGTCTGCATATAAAAATAATATTAATATTTCAACATATGTTTTTTTATATAATCTCAGATCAACGAAATTAAAATGGCAGATCAGAAACATGTGTCACTACTTTTTCATCGACTCAATGTTTCCACTCTTCAGACACAAATCATCGATATTTTGTGTTATATCTTAGTTATTCTGGGATTTATTGGAAATATATTAGGACTTTTTGTCTTTTGGTCATCTCGTCGAACTTGGCAAATATCATCTGCCTATGTTTATTTAGCTACTTCTAATTCAATAACAAATCTTCTAAGTGTTATTCGATGTGTTTCTCTTCTTCATTCAAAATTTCGAAATATTTTATATGAATTAGTTGGACAAATATGGTGGGCATGTAAAATTTATGAATTTACATCTTCTTTTCGAGTTATTTCATCATGGATAACATTATTCTGGATGTTTGAACGAATAATGTGTGTTTCAAAGAGATTACGAGCATGTTTCAATCACTGTAATTCATATCAACTGAAGTTTATTATACCAATCCTAATTGTTCTAACTATTCTCGGTTGTGTTGTTGGACCTCCTGTTTATATGTTTCAACCACAAATACTTGAGTATGTCATCTTTAATTAGAAGGTTTCTAACATCAAGATTAAATAATATTTCTTGTACGAAAGAGAGTAATGAAGTAATCTATAATGAGTCGAAAGCTTTTGATGAGTTACATGAAATATTAAAAATTCTAAGGAAAAACAATGTATTCTTAAATTCGCTTATTATTTTAGTAAAGAGTTAATGGATTCAACAATGAACATAAATAGAACATATTGTGAACTGAGCTCCAAAGCATCTATGAAATGGAAAAAATATTTTCACGAAATTCGTATTGGTAAAAATCACTTTACAATACGTTGTTTTTTCTCTGAATTAATTCCAACAGGAGCAATTATTCTATTTAATAGTTATATAATCTACCATGTTGTACGAGCATCTCGACGTTTACATCAAACAAATGCTCGTCAACTACGTAAAGAACAATGGCGAATAAAATTATGGATGAATATTGTTTTAGTTCTTCATTCTCTTCTTTTTCTTTCATCACTTTTGGTACATATTATTGGACATGTTCTAGCTGTTGAAGCACATGAAGCATGGTGGGTTTTATTAGTAATTTTAATTAATTGTTCTTTAAACTTTTACGTATATTGTTTATCGGGTAAAGGATTTCGAAATGAAATCTATTGGTTTATTCAACGATTTAAACGACTACTTTTTCATAGACAACATACTCATCAACATCAATGACAATGATGTTGTCTGAGTCGGAGTCTACGTGAAGGGGTTAAGCAATTTTCAAGTCATTATTCAAGTTAAAACACATTCTTTCGATGATTGAAATGAGCATTTATCTATATAATTTTATAATTTAAAATAAATAAAACTAGGGTATGGGTATTGGCCTTCGTTCTACTCACATTCACATCTATCCACATCCACACACCCTCAACGGTTCCAACATTCGATCATTTGACTTTACTGGAGATACAAGCGAATGATATTAATGAAGAATGTACAAGACAATTTCAACTGTTACTTTCTCATACTTCTCGCCTATTGTTACTAAGTATCTAGGTATTTTTCAATAGCAATCATGCCGTAGAACTACTATTGGGAACAAAGCATCCTTCAATCAAATAAATCGATCTAGAATAATTCTCTGACGAGATCGATGAAGAGCAATGTATGAGATTGAGTCATTTGTCTCTTCCTATGCAATGTGAAGAACTTCGCATTCGTATAACACACCGATCATCAATATGTTATTTGGTTAAAATAATGCTCAATCTACGATTCTTATGCTTATTGTCAGAATGACCAGTCAAAGGAAACTTTTCCAAAAGATAAATTTGTTGATTGGGCACGAAAACAATTATTAGGTGTACGGTCATTGATTGAAATCTCAATGTGTAAAATAAATAAAGGAATCATTAAAAAGAGATAAGTGACATCGATTCGTTGATAGCAATCTTAGTAAATAATCTTTTAAACTTCTATGTGAAAAATTAAATGAGAATTAGCCCATGCATTTTAACTGTTCGAAAATTGAAATGAATTAAGTAGACTCTTTTCTCGAGAAAATCAAAATTTCTAGAACTCTATAGCACAAAGCCTCATACTTAAATCCCTATGAAAATTAACTCGATAATCAGACCTAAAGTAAATTTTTTATCAATTTAAATTATTCTTTTGTTTTATCCGATAAATAAGATGCATTACTCAATATCGAAACTATCACAGCTTTTCTAGAAAACATTGTTCTTAGTTTTTTGAAGTTTTACGGCTTAGAGCACTTTAAAAGTGATACAAAAAAAAAACTCTTTTCTCATCCTAAACCGTGAGGAATTTTGCACGGCTGGAAGTCTTATTTGCATTTTGATTCTTACGAATCTTCTGAAGGAAAAGATTTGAAACTGCGAAATGATCCAACATGTTTCATATGTTTTGTCAACACGCGTCACATATTCACAGAAAGATTAAACAGTTAGCTCCTGATAATTATGTTAGTTTTTTTTGTCTAAATTTCGTGAGAATCATTTTGACAATTTCGCTTGAAAAAGAACTCAAAAAAAAGAATACACATAGCACATAAAACAAGTATTACGTTAGGGTCGAAAACATTTAATCTGCTTATCTTCATCGATACTGGATTTATTGTTCATTTTATCATTAATATTCTACAAATTAAAAAAATTTAAGAAGTGAAATCAACACAATCACCAATACATATTTAACACATTTTAATTCTTTTTTTTTTAATTGACTAAAGAAAAATTGTACCTAGTATACAAAGTACTAAACCACAAAATCATCTTTTATAAACGAATAATTAGTGTCCTTAATTTATATAGTACTATACTTTTAGTTAAGATGGTTTTGTTATTAAATTGACTTCAACGAATCATTTCGATTTTTTAAAACAAAAAGAAAAAAGTTTTCTTTTCTATCATTGATTAACCTTGTTGATGATCTATTAAATTCCAATTTGTAGTTCTAAAGATGAAGCTATTCATTGTTCCCTTTTCTGAAAGAAAGGATTATACAACGCTTAAATCATGGGCTTCAAATGCATAAACTTTGTCTGTCCAAGCCAATCAGAAATTAGGATGAAATAAACCAATGAAAACTCACCGATGGTTATGAGGAGAAGTTTGACCAAAGGTTTCTGGGGTCGAGAAATTCGAATCCGGGGTTAGTTTTTTCAAATTTCTTTTTGAGGTTGACTTTTTTTGACTAGACAAAGGTGTTTTACGACAAAAATGGATTTTTATAAAGTTTGATCAAAGGTTTTTGGGGTCGAGAAATCCGAATCTATCATTAGTTTTTTCAAATTTTTTCGAGGTTGATTTTTTTTTGACTAGACAAAGGTTTTTTACGAAAAAAATGATTTTTTTTATAAAGTTTGATCGAAAGGTAATCGAGGTCGGAGAATCAAAATCTGAGGTCAGTTTTATTGTTATTAATTAGTTTAATAATTAGTTAACAAATAGTAATATTAATGTTAGAGAAAGTTTGACCTAACGGTAATCCGGGTGGGGGAATCCGAATTTGAGGTCAGTTTTATTATTATGACCTAGATTAATAATTAATTAATAACAAGTAACTTTCGTTCGCGTGATTCGCTTGACCCTCGACTGAACTCTTAGCTAAGTTTTTCATAGTGAATTATTCCTTAGTTATTGAAGATGCTCCTATCCACTGTTTAAAAAAGGTAGGAATGCCTGTGAATGTTGATGCTCGCATCTGTATACGTGCACAGAATAATGTACATGTTCTCATGATTCTTATTCTCCTGAACTTATTCAGTTAAAAACGATACCTACAAACGAAGACGCATTTGAAATATTCAGAAAAAATTACACTAACAGAACCAAATTTCTATAATCAAAGATAAATATTTTATCAAAATAATGATTTTTTGAAAGGCTTGACCAAAAGTAACTGGCTTCGGGTAAATCTGCAATCGATTTCTCTAAATTTTGAAAACTAACTTCGGGTCAGGGATGTGCAGCTCACGCTGAGTGTAGGTGTGGATGAGAGTGGCTGTGAATCTGAATCTTTGTTTCACGGACAGATACATCCTCAGTTACTCCAATATGTTCAACCACCTGTTTTTTTATCCAATACTTAACATACAGTACGTTTATTCTTCGACAATTCCGTATGCTTGTCTCTATTCCGTCGCCGTACAGTCAAGTGACTACAGCCTCAATCAATGTTACTTGTCGGAAAACTCTTAGCATATTGTTCAAACTTCAAATTTATAGAGTAAATAGTTCTCTACAAGATAAGACATTGTTGAAGTTTATACGATTTTTGATTCAGCTTTTATGACAGTTTCATGGCGAGTCTCAATCAAGATCGAACTTGAAGATTTTGTTTTCGTTCCCAGTCAGGACTGTCTGTAAAGCTGAAATAAAAGATGAATCAAAAGTCGTACAAAGTTTTTATATATGACAAATAAACTATATATATATATACAAATCTTTTCTACTGTTATTCTTCTTTTTCTATATTTATTGTTTTTTAGATTAACATACACTTTCAGAAAAAACAACACTCATTAAATCATGACGATAATCGACCGATACATAAATGTAACATACTCAGTGTTTTCACCATATTAACTGAATCAAATTAATTTGTTACTAATTCAATCGTATTCTATAATCAGCAAAGAATGCCCATATAAAAGCACATAATGACAAAATTATAATAGCTGCATAAGAACATTGAGTATGCCATGACGAAATATCTGGTTCACGCATAACACTTATACTTCGTCTACTACTTGCATTATCATATGGAGAATTATCCGAATAGATTGATTGTACATCAAGTTCATCGGTTTTTTCTAAACCACAAATCCAAGCAATGGCAATTTTGAAATATAATATAATTCCAGTAGAATTATCTAGAATATAAAAAAAAGAATAATTAAATTAAGATTTATATATGATGATGAATTAATTTAAATACGTGTATCAAAAAATTCAAATGGTTTCTTTTCTGTTTTAGTTGGAGATATTTCTGTATGATATTGAAATGAATCTTCAAATGGATATGGATGTTCTTCATCATAATATGTATCTGCTTTGTGCATACAACCAGGTCGAGTCGGAATTGCAATTGGTTTAACAGGATTATCAAGATCAAATGTAGTTAAACCAGATATCTAATATTAATTTATTTTATCAAATAAAATCATTTTCTTTTTTTGATCATTTAACTTACATATTTATCTGGAATGGGTTTTGTAAGAAGACTAACAACAATTGTAACAATAGCAGATATAAAAAAAAGTAAAATAGAAAAATATAAAAAATTAAATCGAATTATTGATGGACGTTTATCCAAATGTTGAAATTGACAAGGCATTGCTGTATAAGAATATTCCCATATAAAACGAAACATACCAACAAATAAACCAGCTATAAGACCCCAGAAAGCTCCCTAAAATAGATAATGTTTTTTTCTTTTTTCTATAAATTATATTTTTTTTTAGATTATTATTCACTTCTTCATTTATTCGTTTCCATAATACACCAAGTAAATAACAAGCAGCAACAGGTGGAGCTAAAAATGATTGAACAGCTTGCATATAATCAAATAATCTTGAACCTTGTGTTGCTCGAATAATCGGAATCCAAAGAATTGAAACAGCAACAAGAATCATGACAAAAACTCTTAAATAAATATGTTTATCAATCTTCAAAATCAATATTTTTGTTAATTACCTGCCAACAATCATTAATTCCCAACCATGTGCATTTTTTCGAAAACGTTGCCAAATATCAATAGTAAAAATAGTCGAATTTGAATTAAATATTGATGTTAATGATGACATTAAAGCAGCAATCATACATGCTAATGTCAAACCACGAATTGCTGATAAAAAAAAATAAAAAATTTCTATTATGAAATAAAGATTAGATTTGATTAAAAAAAAAAACAACAACCATTAGGCATTAATCGAATGACAAGAAGTGGATATGCTATATCATTACAACCATTTCGACTATGACAAACTTGATAACATGCATTTGGATCACTACAACCAATTTCATCTATAAAATAATTTATTTCACTTTCATTTTATATTTAAATGAAACAAACAAAAAAAAAACTTTCATACTAGGAAAGAGTATTCGTGCAACCATTCCTATTCAAATATAATAAAAAAAGACTTAAACTATTAATAAAATAAATAACTTACCAGGAAATACCATAAGAAATAATGGTAAAAATTTTAATAGACCTGCAAATAGACAACCTGCTCTTGCATGTGATATATTTTTTGCTGCTAATGTTCGTTGAACAATGACCTAATTTTAAAATAAAAAATTCATATTAGTTTTTCATTTTTATTAAATTTTATTTACTTGATCACAACCCCAATACCATATAGAACCAATTGCACCACCAATTATCATACCAAACCATGGTAAATCAGCATCAAATGGACGAATTAATGAAAAATAATTTTCATTTGGAACACCACATTCAGTTGTACTATATAATGTTGTATTAGCAAGAGCATAGGGAAAAAGATTTCGTACTTGTTCAAGACCACCAACTCTTATAAAACCTATTTCAAATGATTAATAACGAAATAATATTAATTTTTATATTTCTTACTAATAATCATAAGTATAAAAGCAGAAATAATCATAATTATTGTTTGAATAAAATCTGTCCAAATAACTGCTGTTAAACCACCTATTCAATTTATATTTAAATTAAAAGAATCAAAAAAAAATTTCTTTATATTTACCTCCAACAGTAAAACAAGCAGCTAGAAGAGTAAGAGCAATAACTGATGCATAAAGATTCCAATTAAGTGCTTGTTGAAGAAAAACAGCACCAGAATAAAGATCAACAGATATTTTTGTAAATATTGATAACATTAAAGCAAGACATGTTAAATAAATTCGTATACGTTCACCTCCATAGCGCATTTTTAAATATTGAGGCATTGTATATACCTATTGTATATATACACATTCTTTATTTATACAGAAACTCTCAAAGTTATTCGAACAGATTTATTTTTCAATTTTTTTCCAATGTCATGAACGCTAAGAAGAATTTAAACAGATATTTGAATAACGAATTTTATTTCCAAGAAGAATTTTTGAAGATGAAAATGATTACTAGTTTCCTAAGACTAGAGCCTCTGAACAATCGAAAATCACATTATTCAACTTTTAGAATTCTGTTTTGGATTAGCTAGAATGATAAAACAAGCAATTCTCTACAAAATAAAATGACTTCAAACTCTTTACGACGTTTTTTTGACTGAAGTACGTCACCCTTATAGAAGGTATAAAAGTTGTTTGTCCTGTTATTTCGTTTGGAAACAATTATTTTGGTACTTCCCATAATGTTGATGTATCTCAGTCAAAAAGCATCGTAGAGAGCTGAAGGATATTTCATTTTGTAGGGAATTGTTGGTTCTATCTATCTAGACTATTTTCAATTCGTCTCAGTGCTTATGATAACGAAAAAAGATTAAAAAAATAAATGTGGTTGAATGATTTTCGGAGCCCTTTATATATATATATATTTCATTATATACAATACCTCTGCTTTCATATAAACTGGTACAAATAACCAACCAAGTACCATAAGGATATAGATCGCCTATTATATATAATACATATATATTTTGATAAGAAAGCATCTTTCTTTTTAGTATTTCCTACTCCTAACTCAAATCCAGCAACTGCTATACCACTCGAAGCACCAGAACCACTTAGACCAATAAAATGACCACTGCCAATGTTTGATGCAAATAAGGAAGCGCCCACCTATAGATATGTATAGTATTAACAAAAATTCTATATAGTTCGCAAATTTTACCGGTATAAAATGCATCGAACGGCCAGCAAGAAAATATCCACCTAAATCATTTATTGTAAATAGGATAAAAATTTTATGGAACAAATCCCAACTTTAAATTTCTATACTAGACAAAGTTTACAAGAGAACATTTCCAAATATCAAATCGCTTTTTGTTTGAGACTATTACCATTCGGTCGGTCATGAGGAGTAATGAAAAAAATTCTGTTTACTTTGGTTTTCTAGCTTTCGCTTGTTGAGTTAAGAGCATTTTATTCGATTTTTCTCTAGAAGCGTACGATCAGTGTAAACTTCGATGGTCGAATTTCAAGCTGAAATTTTGTCTATCGATAGACCTTATAGGCACTAGAAAGAATCTTAAGTTTGACTTAGGACAAATGTATCCAAATTGAGGCATCAACTCATCATAAAAATAATTATCTTTCTTTTGAAACACAGCCTAAAATAGACGTTTCTTTAGAATGCAAATATCTTAGCACGAAATTCAATAGAACAGATTCTTAACGATCCTATGCTCATAAGTCAAGAACCGAGTAAAATGTCTTTAACTCAACAAGCGAAGATCGGATAGCCAAACCATAGGAAACTTTCTTACTACTCATCATGATCGATCGAATGCCAATAGTCTCAAGTGAAAAGTGATTGAATAGTTAGAAATGTCTTCTTATCAACTTAGATATGAAAGAGTTTGAGAAACTTTAGTATTGAATTCTAAAACTAGTGCTTTGTAATTAAGAAAATTGTAAAGTTTTAATCAAAAATTTCTTTTCATTATTATCATCGAGTTTAATGATAAACTTTATATATTTGCTCACCAATACTTCCACGATTCTTGCATGAACTCTAAAATCAACTAAACAATAATTAATTAGAAGAAATTTTCAATCTGACATACCCAAACTCCAAAACCAAGAATAAGTAAAAAATAAAGTAATAAAACTAATATATCAGGCCAATGAAGTGCTGTTCCAATCACAGCAACCATGTTTTACTTTTACTTTGAAATGTGTATGTGTCTTTATCATTTTACCTTTATTTTCTATTGTATAAAAAGATAATGAATAGATCAATAAATATGATCTTTTACTCAATAGATGTTCTTCAAGATTATCATTTTATTTCTTTCATATAAAAGTTACGGCAAAACATTAATGATAGGAAATTAAGCAAAAAAAACAAATGAAACTGACATTTTTATCGAAATAAAAGGTTATTATCATAAATATGTATTAATCTTTTCATTTTTAAAATAATAAAGATAATAAATATCATTTCCAAGTCGTGTAATAAATAAAGCTTTTGCTAATTTTTTTTCAAGTTCATTTGTTAATTCTTTTGTTGATTTATCTGAATCAGGTTTTACTTGACGATATTGTTTAATAATCTATTAATGAAACATGAAAAGCTATGAAGTTAGGAAAATGTTTTAAAAATCGTCTTTCTTCTTATATCTGTAGTCCCTTTGAGGTGAAGCTTTCAAATAAGAAGGACTATTGATTGAGACAGATATAACAAACAATTCAGTTTAATATGTTATTCCCTCTTTGAAAAAAAGATTTAAGGGCAAAAACGCACATTTTGCTTATATCTTGAAAAATTCATAACTCCTGCTAGAAGCAACTTGGGCACGAACTACCTTAGAGTATATTGCTCCTAGCTATGCCCTATCTAACCATCACATCCGCGACTTAAAAGCTTTTTAGTACCTCGGGTAGTTCCCTCGTTAGAGGTACAACACATCTAATAATTCTAGACATAAATATGTGTTGCAGAATGAATTTATTTTAATTAATATTGCAGTAAAATTAAATTCTCAAGATTATGTGCTGAGAAAGATTCTAACATTCGCCTCTTTTTGTTCAAAAAAATGTTTAGCTGTTGATTTCTATACAAAAATAAAGATTACACGCGTAGTTCGTAAAAAAAAAATTACATGATGTATAGAATGGTCAAAAAGTCACTTGATGATCTTTGATTCCGAATCACTTTTGATTAGAAGAAGATAGAGAGCAGAGATATATATCACGGCAAGTTTTTGGAGAAAGTATTATAGCGCGATAGGTTTTTGAAAATATCATAGTAGCGGCAGCCTAATTTTTCCGAACATCATGGCACGGAAGTGGCTCAATTTTGACGAGGTTTCTCTTTTTTAAAGAAATCTACAACGGTCTTCGAGTCGGGTCAGGTCGGGCCGGATTACGAAAAAATTTTTGAATTTCAGCATGGATCTGCAGTCTCAATATTTTGCAGATATAAGAGACATTTTGTATATTTTTTTCATTTAAAAGCTCTATAAGGGAGAGCGGAAAAGCTTTGTAGAATAAGAAGTTATGTATTGCACGATCTTTTCTTTGACTTCGCCAACTTTTCTTTCTTGACATTGGACAAAGATGCATACCACGTGCACAGTCTCTTCAGTGGTGATATAAAGGTTGTACGCTGTATACATAAGAAAAGAAAGACAAACAAGAAAAAAATCTATCACATAATCGTTTTATTCCAATCGAGGAATATCATCGGAATATCAAGAATAAAAAGAGATCCAGAACATGTTCTTTGTGGGTGTGGGTGTATCTGAATAGGAGATCTACACTCACACCTACACCCATACCAACATCCAGACCGTACATTCACTCCCAACGCGGTATACGGCAAAGTTGCAGCGAAAAATACCGATGGCTGTAACGATCATCCTTGGTAGAGATTTTTTATTTGATTCTGCTGAAGAAAGTTGGGTGTTGGTGCAGATATTGATCTTGTCTTGGTTTCTTCACACCGAGTCTCCTCCGTCCACATCCACACCCTCAAGAAGACGTGTGTGTGATGTATATTATCAACACATCAAGAGATGTATGCACTTCGAAAAAAATACGACCGAGTTTCTGTATTTGTCGAAGAATGATAGAGCAGATAGTGGTTCACGATGACGATGTCAGAAAAAATATTATCTGAGTCACACTTACGGAGAAAGACAAGACTGTTAATAACTATCTCATTTTACCTGAGTCGAAGATAAAAATGGTGACAAAAAGCTTATACTGCTGCTTCTTATTCTTTGCTATCAGGTAATTAATATTTGTTCCTTGATCTATCTCAGAGTGTTAAAAATAATCTCTGATTTTAGTCTGTCAGGTATTGTTGTCGCTTCTTTTCACTTGTTCAATCTCTAATTCTATCTATTGACAGTTCGAGTCGAACCTCAACGATGTCATGGATTAGCTCAATACGATCAATGTTCAACGAATAGTGCATGCGGTTGTTTTCATTCTAGTTCTACTACTGATAGTGGCATCTGTGGTTTCCGCTGGTTAACGTGTTCTGAACTTGTTTCGTGTGCACCTAACACTAATATATGCTTCGAACCTGATCATGTTTGTGTTCACCATCCTGAATGTGACAATCTGTCATTGTGTTATCCGTTGTCGATGGCCAGCGACGAACTATGCCCGCCGATGTCATCATTAACAACACCAAGTGAGTCGAATCACAATATTTTTCGAAGTTAAATGACCATTGTATTCTGCTATATAATTCGACATTATTGATTTCTATCATCATTTAGATCATTTAACTTCATCTTCTCCGTTGGATTCGAACGGTGAAATTTGTGTGACGGCGACATGGGCTTCGAATGGAATCACTGTTGCCGGTGGAAAGAATTTTGGGTCCGATCTCGATCAGTTGGCTGATCCCTATGGAATTTTTCTTGATGCTAACGATACTATGTATGTGGCAGATCGTTCTAACCATCGTATCATCACATGGGAACAAGGTGCTTCGATTGGTCAGTTAGTTGCTGGCGTGAAATGGGAAAATAATCGTAATCTGCTATTAAATATGCCGCAGGATGTTGTCGTTGATAAAGACGGAACAATGTACATTACTGATGGGGGTAATTGGCGTGTTCAGCGATGGCCTCGTGGTGCTCAAGACGGAGAAACGATGGTTGACAACATCCAGGCTGTCGGCATAGGACAAGATGACGAAGGATCGATCTATGTGTCTGAGTACGCAAATGGTCGATTAACAAAATGGCGTGTGAATGAGACAACTGGACAAGTGATTCCCACAAGATTGCATCATTCTAACTTTTTGTTTGTTGATCAAGATCAATCCATCTACGTGGTGGGTTATATGAGTCACCAAGTTGTGAAAATAACTGAAGGAAGTGAAGAAGCCGTTATTGTTGCTGGTCGATCTGATGACTCAGGTAACGGTGCAGACCAACTAGCTTTCCCGACAGGTGTTGTTGTCGATCAGTTGGGTACTGTCTATGTAGCTGACACTCAGAATCATCGAATAATGCGTTGGCCGAAAGGGGCAACATCAGGTAATCTGATCGTTGGTGGTCGTGGCCCTGGTCCTGAATCCGACCAACTTAATTATCCTTCTGATCTATCATTTGATCGATACGGAAATCTATACGTGACTGATACTCTCAATAATCGTGTGCAAAAATTCATCATCGACAAAAGTTCATGTCAGAAAAATGAGGAAAATACATCCTCTCCCCACAATTGATTGTTGCTCTTTTATATGCATACAAGAAGAAAAGGTAGTAAAGCGATAACATACAGCTCTTTCATGCTATTATTTTTTTTCTCGAAATATCGTAATATGATCCCAATAAAGTTGCTTCTATGAATCTATGAATTAATAGTACTGATTTTAAGACAATGTTGGAACGAAGTAGATTTGCTTATCTCTTTTTTTTGTTTGTTTACCGTTTATTAAATTCTTAATCCTAGTGTAATGCACTCTCAGAAATAGAAATGACTGTTAGATGAAGCAAACATGACAATTGGTTGAACGGAGAAGGATAATTGAACAAAAGAAATGAAATCAAAACGCATCCAACTTGGAGCACGTAATTCAAAATCTACTATGGCGATTAGTATAAAAATTGTTTATTTTTTCATTCTCTATGACAATGTATTGTTAATCGCTTTTGCTATTTTCGATGTTAAGAACAGGAACATAATGACGTTTGTTAGAATGTTAGTTGTTTATTGTGAAAAGTGTTTTAGATACAGAAACCTTTTACGTTAACCAAAAACTTGTCAGTGCGCAGCCTCAAGAGGAGCCAAAGTGTAAAATTAACAAACTCTGACTGTTATATATTTATGATACATTATTAGAGGGATGAAAATAAGTTATTCAAAAAAAAAAATCCAAATAAATTAACAAATCGAAATTATGACAATACTCATAGTTGATACGCACGCCTTGCAATTTTATTATTTCGAAAATATTTGCATTTAAAATTCTTATTCTAACAATTTATTAGATTCACTTAATATCGCCATAGTGAAAAAAAACTTATTTCCATTATCAAATACATCTTTAACGCATAACTTTTTTTCTCCTAATGATAATATATACGATACATGTCATAGGAAGTAGTAAATATACTTTTATTCTTTGTTTCATTGGTTCAACTGCCATATTATCCTATTATACACATTGATTTAATCCTTCAGTAAGCTTTCAAGCACATCATCCTTTCCATCCGCGAAATTTTACACATAATATTGAGCTTTGCCTAAACTTAAAATTCAATTAGTTCATACTTTTCTATGTTGGTCCTTTTCTCACTCTCCTAGATCAATAAAACCACCGTCCTACTGATGGGTACCTGCAACAAGATAATTTCGCTGCATTACTGACGTAGTGGATGCGGTGTGGACAATATAAGATCAACACTCACATCCACACCTTAAAATTGAGGAAACATCATTTTTGATTGTTAGTACAACGTTGTAGTTCTGGAGCAACAAGTGGAGTGACCATAGCAAGTATTACTATCGGGTGTCCCAAAATGTTTGCACACTTCTTATTTTGCATATATCTCATCATAGACAAATAAGAAAAATATTAAATTTTATTAAAATGATACGCCGTGAGAAGCTCTACAAAAAATGCTGGACCAGATCCCTATTCAAATGTTGGGAATTATTTTTCCTATAGTCAAAATGAAACATCTCGAAAAAGTTCTACTTTCTACCACAGTAACGAGTCTCTTCTTCTTCCTTCCGATTAGTATTTTTGAATTTTCTCTACTATTTTCGATTCTATCTAAATACTTTTTTTAATCAAAATGTAGCGCTTGAATTTCTCTACGAAACTACGTATAACTAAGTCCAAGACCTGTTTAAAACATATATTCAGTTTTTAATGGGTGTTTTCATAGTAGTAGCTTGTTTTTTGTTCGTGCGACCAGAGAACTACAAAAAAAGAATAGTGGATCATGGAGATCTCGAATTACTCTACAAGATTTGTTTGAGGAAGGTGGTCGAAGCTTTGCTCCGAAAGAACGTTTTAGAGTTCACAAGAGTGATCGTATCTTTTCTTCCAGGAAAGGTGGGATTCTTAGGGTGTGAGTGTTGTAAGTTTTTTTGCGAGCGAAATTTGTCCATGTTGAGACATATGCAACATAAAAAGTGTGCAAACATTTTGAGACGTCCGATATATTCGAAGAAGAATCAGAAATTCATAATGAATTTAAATATGAAATACAACAAAATTGTTCTCATCTTCCGTTATGTATAAACGTTTTTTTCAAATAGAAAAGAACAATAAAATATGTACAAAAGCAAAAAAAAACATCTAGTTCATCGAATCTTCATTGTCGTTCGAATCATTTTGTTGAAAATTATCTACTAATTGACGTGTTGAACGACTACAAAAAGATTGAATATCAATTTAAATCAAATAAAAACCTTGAAAAAAAAAGTACTTTTTATGAGGCGATGACACATTCGGTTGATATACTGGCGATGTTGGACTAAAAATAAACAAGTCTCGATTATTATTCAACATAACAAATCGTAAAAACAAACGTATAGCGAGATGATAATTGAGATGAAGAATACATTGATGAGTTTGGACTAGAAACACGAGAAAAAGTGTTTTTTTTAGATTACAAACGAAATCATTTAAGTACCCGTATTGTGGTGACGTTGGAGAATAGATCAATGATGCGCTACTTCTATCATGGTCACGTGCTGCAAACATCGGTGATGTTGAACCTTTAAAGGAAAAAAATTTATGAAATACAACAATCAAAATAAACGAAAATGACTTTTACTGTAAGATGAACTCGATGGAGAATACACTGGACTTTGAGAATAATAGTTCGGTGATGATATTCTAGTTGAATACGTCGATAATGATGGAGAATAGCCTAAATATTGTACAAAAGTTATGTTAGATAAAGTAACATAAAAAATATGTGTCTCACGTGGAATGATTGGAGATGTTGGAGAATAACTCAAACTAAACAGGTTAATCATCAAAAAATAATAATAATAATAACAAAAAGAAGAAAACTGACTTCGTCGAAGTATATTTCGGTGGTATTTCATTATTTAAATTGTTCGATAATGGACTGTTTACTGAAGAAATTGGTGAAATTGATGAATAAAATCGATCGGATGAAAACGACGGAGAAGTTTGACCTAATGATTACAATGTTTTGAAAAGATTTTCAATGTCAAAACAAAAAGAAACAGACTATAGTAAGGACTGGTCGGTGAATAGAAGGATGATGTTGATTCTTGTTTTCTAGAAGCATCCAAATAAGTAGGACTGGTGACTGGATTGTACGATGGACTTGTTGGGCTATTCAACAAATCAATGAAAACAAATAAAAAAAAAAGAAGATAAATACCTATAAGGAATTGATTTCAATCCATTATAATTAGATGTACTTGAATCATAGTAGTCTGCACTTGAACTATTATATGGTGAGCTTGGTGAGCACCGTGGTGATTGAAAATTGTACGAAGCAAGATTTGTAGATGACGATGGTGACATATGACCTAGTGAAGTCATTGAATAGTTAGATGAAAATCTTTCAGAACCCATCAATGTCATTGGAGTTGCTCCTGATAAATGATAAGATTCATATAATGGACTAGTTGCAATCGATTCAATCCAAGGTGTAGATGTAATTAAACGTTGTTGAGTATATTTTTTCATAGCATCTGGAGACATTATTTCTTGAAAACTATCGATGTTCATTATTGGTAATTCCATAGCTGATGCACATTTTTTGACATCCAAAATAACTTCAAAAGCACCTGTACCAATTTTGGCCAATTGTCCGAGTAGAATACTTTCCGAAACACCTTTCAATGGATCGTATTCGGAATGAGCAGCTGCTTCTATTAATACATCGACTGTTTCTTCAAATGATGATTTCATTATTGGACTAAGATCTTCTCGATTAATTCCATGTCGAGTAATGGACATAAGATGTCCTTTTGTTGTCATAATATCACATAATAAAGCCAAATGACGATTGTTAACATAGGATCCATCAAATGAAATAACATGATTCATTTCATATTCAATCGATTTACGTGCACCTTCAATACCAAAAACTTTAAAGATTTCAATAATATCATTTGTATATGTTCGACGATAATCAACATCTTTCATTGAGAGAACATCTCTTAGTGATGTTCCATCAGTCATCAAAAAACGTTCAGCTGCTGGTTCGATTGTACCATTTTCATTAATAATAAATCGTTTTTTTGAATTATATTGAGTATTTGTCTTTGGATCAACAATGTAGACTTTCAAAATTGATTTAATTCCTAATGAGAAAAATATAGTAGAAGAAAAAAAGAAATCATATTTTTAACCTTTCAATGTTAAATTGGAAAGCACCTTTTCTTCGAGAAATCGAAGAAAATTTTCATCATCTAATTGATTTATATTATCTTCTTCGAGTGTTTCGTCCATATCAATTGTTGATTTAGTCTGATCAACAATTCTAATACGTAGAATAAGTTTTTCTGCATTATCATCACTGAAAATAACACTAAGATCATCACCAAAATTTTCAGAAATCTTCTCAGATATTTGTTCCATTGTCAAATTTTTATCAATAATTTTCTTTAGATCGAGTTCAATACGTAATAACCATGGAGAAAGTTTTGAAATATTCTCATTAGATATTTCATAATAAATATCAATCCATTGTTGATCTTCTTCAATAATTGTTTTCTGTGGATAAGGATCATAATATATACTTGTATTAGCTATCATTTTTCCTAATGAACAATGTTCAATATGAGACAAGACTTGTTTACATTTGTTGATGTCATTTGATGTTTGATCAGTAAGAAAAACAGTCATTGATGGTGTTTTTGGTGTTTTAGAAAGATTAATAATTTCTTTGAGACGAGGAACACCGAGTGTAACATTTTTAGCTGATACACCAGCATAATGAAATGTATTCAATGTCATCTGTGTAGCTGGTTCACCAATAGATTGTGCAGCAAGAATACCAACCATTTCACCTGGTTGAATTTGAGCTTGTTGAAAACGTGTTTCAATTTCTCCACATATCCAATTAAATGCTTCTGCAGTTAGATGATGAACTTGAAGAACTTGTCGTGAACAAAGTGATGAACGAATAAGAATATTCATTAACATAGTTGCATTATATTGAGCTTCTTGAGAAAGACGATCATTACCTTTGATAATAAGCAAACGTTTAATTAATTCTTCTAAACCTTGAATAACTTCTATTGGAGAAAGATTTGATTGAGTTTTATTCGATATATTAAATATTTTTCGAGCATTAATAATCAATCGTTCAATATTACACGGTAGAACTATTCGATTTTCATTAACATTAGAGAATATTTCTCGAAGATGATTTCGATCTTCACATAATTGATACCATTCATTATTTAATATTTGTAATGAATTCTCATTTGTAAAAAGATCATGAATAATATCATCATTTAAATATCGTTGTAAATATTTTTCATCATCTAAGAAATTAAATTTACATAAATTTTCAAATGCAATATTTGATGATTTTAATGAAATAATCGATTGAAATTCGACATTTTCAGCTGCTAATCCATCTTCACCATAAATAAATTGAATTAATTGTTCTTTTTGATTACGAACTGTACCATCATATTTAACCATAACCGATTCCATTGCCTATCAAAATACACATATAAAGATTAAAATGTAAATAGAAAAACAAAAATTCAAAAACTTTAATCAAACGACGTTGAATATATCCAGTTTCAGCTGTTTTAACAGCTGTATCAATAAGACCTTCTCGACCAGCCATGGCATGAAAAAAAAATTCCGTTGGATTGAGACCTTTTAAAAATGAATTTTCTACGAATCCTTTTGCTTCTGGACCATAATCATCTTTAATGAAATGTGGCAATGTACGCTGTTTAAATCCGAAAGGTATTCGTTTTCCTATTCAAATAATAAAATATCAGACTAAATCAGAAATAAAATTTGACAAACCTTCAACATTCTGTTGACCGACACAAGCAATGATTTGTGACATATTAATCAGCGAACCTTTTGCACCACTGATGACCATTGCTTTCAATTGATTGAACTGTGATAGAGAATTTTGAGCTAATGATCCTGTCCGTTTTCGAGCATCATTCAAATGTCTATTGACCTTATTTTCAAATGTTTGTCGAAGTGTATTGCCTCGTTCACTATCTAATTGATCACGATGAGACATTTCAATAACGTCTTGTACTTCTTGTTTCGATTGTTTGATTGTTTCTTGAATAATTTCATAAGTATAATCATCAGCAATTGTATCCTCAATACCTGAAAAAAGAAACAAAAATCAATTTTTGTTTTCATCAAAATGATCAAATCTTACCAATGGAATGTCCTTCAATTAGTAACCAATTGTTGACAACTAATTGAATATAATAATAGAATTTTCCGGCTATTTCATGTCCACATTCCATGAAAACGACATGTCCTAGTGAACCAGGACTTGTACCTAATGTTCGTTTACATAAAATACCAGAGAGTAATTGACCATTTTCTACTAATACTTTTGTATCGCCCGGTGATATCCATTTGAAAGATCCGTCATCTTCATTATCAGGATGTGTTTCATGAGTTCGAACACAATTAATTTCTTTCGGAAGAATTAATGAAAACAATTGTTTTCCTGTCCATAATGGTTTCGGTTTGAGAATAGCTGCTTGTGGAACATGACCATTCCATGATGGAAGTTGCATTAAAAGATTCATAAAATCGTTTTTATCAAGAAAAACATCACGACGTGTCATTTTTGTAACTGCTGTTAATGTATCCTGTACGATACCCATAACTGGTCGATTTGATTGTGGAGTTATGAGAAGACGTGGAACCATCATTAGTTCGGATAATTCTGCTTTGACTTCTATTGATTGTGGTAAATGAAGATTCATTTCATCACCATCGAAATCAGCATTGTATGGTGTTGTTACAGATAAATTTAATCGAAATGTTGACCATGGAAGAATTTTAATACGATGAGCCATCATTGACATTTTATGTAATGTTGGTTGACGATTGAAAACAACAAGATCATCATCAACCATATTTCGTTCAACGATATTACCATATTGTAAATAAATATCCGATGGGTTTCGATGAACACGAAGATCAATTCGATCACCATTATCCAAAATGATATATTTTGCTGCATTACATCGTATTAATTCTTGTAACCATTCTATATTGAATGGAGTAACAATTTCTGGAACAGTCAAATTCTGTGCAATCGTTCGTGGAACGCCAACTTGATCGATGGCTAGATTTGGATCAGGTGTAATTACCTAATCAATATTTTATATTTCTTTCTTCTTATTTTTTTTTTTATACAACAAATTTTAATTATTACTTACTGATCGAGCACTGAAATCTACTCGTTTGCCCATTAGATTTCCACGAATTCGACCTTCTTTTCCTGCGAAGAAGAAAAAAAATAAAAACAATTGGATCAATCATAAAAGAAGAAAATATAAATATTATACCTTTCAATCGAGCTTTGAGAGATTTTAATGGTTTGCCATTTTTTTGACACATCTGTAATATACCAGGAATATCATTATCGATCAATGTTGCACAACAATATTGAAGATGTTCCAATTGTTTATCAATGATATGCGAAGTAACACCACGTTGTTCATATTCATATAATGTTCGATTTGCTTTAATAATATTTGCTAAATTGTATGTTAAATCATCATGACAACGAGCTGTACCAAACATTAATACTGATGGACGTACACACAAAGGTGGAACCGGTAAAACAGTAAGAATCAT